GTGTGTGTGTGTGTGTGTGTGTGAATAGTATATATACATATACAAATTATGTATATATATATATATTTGACACAGTGTATGTAGTATACACACGTATTCGTGCGTATTTTTGCTCACAAGTCCTACGAATTGGGTCTCTCGGTATCACCTTATCTAATCTCAAACATGCCTACACACAGAGTCAATGTATTTAGATGCAATCTCGCTAGTATTTGGACACAAAACGTTTAACCTCTGCTACTCGCATTTTTTTACCTACTGCCACGCAAATATATTATCAATACTATGACATATATGAGTATTCTCAACTTGATATGGATGAAGGAGCTGCAAAGAAGCCTGGAACTTTTCCAGAGTCAAGTTCCAGGGTCAGGGTCAGGTACCTTGATCATGTCGCCCATCCGCCCTGAATCTTGAGACATATCTGTGACGGAGTCCAATGACACCAGATCTTTATCATCGACCACATTGCGTAGCCACTCTTCAGTTATTACGTCCATAAGTGCTGTGACTCTCTACAAGGTTTTTTGTGACTTTGTAAATAAATCTCCGACGCAAGTATTTATGCACTACGTACCCTGTGCCCTGTGAGACAAGAATGCCTTTATTTATAGTTCTCGCAATTCCTTGTGCCGACAACTGCGTCGACAGCTACTACGTCGACTACTGTGACTACTGTGCCGACCACTATACACACTCAAATCGTGTATGACGCAGATGGAGATGAGATGTATTGCTCAATAGCTGTGCCTGCTCGACTATACGTCGGCTGCCCCATTTTTCATTTTACAAGTGGATGCCAGCAGCGAGCTGCCACTGGATGGACTTCGGCTTTTTCTTGGTAGGAAATCGGACCATGCGGATGTGCAGATATTTGAATTACTGTGCGTCCCTGGGAGGCTGGGACGGGACTGGCACTGCCACATCTGTTCCTATAAAAAATAAAACACGGCTGGGACGCCGCGGGGACTGAAAGCGTTTGATCGTAGGGGTAATCTATTTGTTCCAAAACAAAATCTCCCACGGACCCACAGCACCCCACAGGCCCACATACCCAAGAGCACTGACGGAACACACTCTGTCACTTGCGTTTAAACACACACACACACACCACGGCACCCCACCCGCCCACCTACTCACTCATACACACACATACATGTGTACACATTCACATACATTCACACACAATCACACACACGATCAATCACACACACTCTCTAACTCACACCTCACTCACGCAAACACCCAACAACTTACACTCACCCACTCATAAACTCTCGCACATGCGCTCTCACACGCACTCCTCATACACACTCTCTCATAGCACACATCCATACACCCACACACCCACACATTCACTCACACCCACACACACTAACTCACCCACACTCACTCATACCAACACACTCACAAACACTCACTCAACACATGTGTACATATACATACTATTGCTAATGGACACACGCTCAATCATACACGCTCACTCATGTATACACAATCGTATATACTCACCCATACACACGCACAAACCACTCACTCACACTCGCTCACTCAACCACAAACACGTTCACTCACACGCGCTCACTAATACAAACGCCTACACACATGTGCAAACAATCTCACACACACAACACACACACATATATATATATATATATACGTGTACACGCCCATACGCTCTCTCTCATATCACTCACTTACTCACTCACTCTTACTCACTCAATAACACTCGCGCACTCACTCACTCACTCTCTCTCTCATGTGTACACCCGCCCAGACAGAATCAAAAAGCACCTCATTCTATTTTTTTGAAATTGAAGTAGATCATCTAAAACCCCGCCATTTCTTCCTCACATTCACTCAACACATACACAAATACGCACTGTTGCTCAGTCACATACGCTTACACATAAACACGCTCACCCACACACGCTCACTCACTCACACCCATTCACGTAATCACTCACTCATACACCTCACTCACACACGAGTACAGACGTCCATGCTCACTCACAAATACTCATACATACATACGCATTCACGCATACTATCATACACAACCTCTCGCTCACTCACACGCGCTCACTCAATTACACACACGTTCCCTCGCATGCGCTCAATAGTAGTTACACACGCCCACACACACATATTTATGTATAGTTGTCGTGTAGTATGTGTTTATTTACACTTTTTCCATAGCCTTCTTGATCGTTTGAAAAATCGACTAGGATCTTCAATGTTCCCCCTAAAAGATGGCCATAGTATAGGACAAACCTAGTTTATCCTTTCTAAGTCCTAAACCTCAACCGAGTTTTTCCTACGGTTGCCACGCGACCCTAGAGAGGGACCATGTGCAGCACAATATGTTGTTCAATATAAATAGGTTTTTCACTTTATACTAAGCAACTAGTTACTAAGAAACATCTGATGGATAGGTCTCTATAGGTTGTGGGCCTTTTTATTGACTACACAATATCCTCCTAAATACTAACAAGATGCTTTCTAGCTCCACTAAACTCCCCGCCATTTCTTGGTCTGTCCTCAACGAAGATGGAACAAACATAGACCACTGGATAGCGGATCTAGACATGGCTTCTACTGCCATCAGCAAGAAAGATATATCTTTCGTATTCATCTACGTTCCGTCGACCGAATCGATCTCGGAATTTTACGAAGAAGTTCAGCAAACACCCAAAAAGGAATTGACATCGGCTCAGGCTGCATTTATTAAGGAAGCTGATTACGTGACCAATATAAAAGAATCAGGAACTTATTACGAAGCAAAGAACCTAATTTTTTCCACTAAATGTGCTGCCCAACGACTGAAGCTTGTCCCAACTATCCGTTCCAGCCACCCATGGACAATCCTTGCTCTCCTGAAATGACACTTCAAGCACCAATCTTGGAATACTTATGCTATCATCGACGGCGCTTACCTCAGAACCCTCATACGTTTACAGGATGAGTCTCTCAGAACCTGGTCACACCGCACCGAAGATATACTTTACCGTGCCAAAGCCCAGGGCACTACATTTTCACCTGTCGTGGCACAGAATCGCTTCATTGGCGGTCTCTCTGATGTCGACAAGCACCAAATTCAAAACGTATACCTCATGTCATTAAGCATCGCGACGGCATCACAATTTATCATATCCTTGACTACCTCAAGAAACTACATGCTACAAAGGCTCCACTTTCATCTAACGACGAAGTCATCCCTGGCATCGCCCGAACTACTCCTGCAGCTGAACCAACTCTCCAGGACGTCGTCGAAATGATCACTGACCTTCAAAATGCAACACAAACTAAGACGACCCGTCCTATGCTGTATTTCGTGTGTCAGAAGTCCACACATGTATCATCCCTATGTTCTAAAGCCTGCGGCCGCTGAGGTACCGTGGGCCACAATAGCCGAGCATGTACTCCTCAATCCTTAACATGTACCAATTGCTCTAAAAAGGGTCACTTAGAAATTTTATGTTCTAAACGTAGCAATAAACAGAATTTCCCCTATCCTGTTCCTACAACCATCCCACGTATCATGATCCCTATAATTTGCCCAAGCTACTCACACAAGCTTGCCTGACAACAACTCGTTATTCGACGGTGGAGCAACTGTGAATTATATGCACAGTTCGGCGCGTCACCTCCTTCGCAACGTCGAGACAGGCCGCTACCCTCTACGCCTCGCTGACAATCGCATAAAATATGTCACCGTCCGGGGTACTCTCTCACATCTAGGTACTACATACTTAGATCCCGAACTTACTCAGGGCCTTATAGCCCAAAATAATCTCCAAGACTCCAGATTTTCCCTAAACTTCCCAGGCGACAAACAGGAATGCTTTCTAGGTATCAAGAATTCTATTGTTACCCTGCCTCGAACAGCTGGAGACTACTACGTGTCCTATTCTTCCCTTCAACAGCACCTTACTCTTACTAAGATATCCCGCTTGACTCCAGCACCACCATCACTACCGGCCCCTCGTACTAAAACTCGAGCCCCTCTATTACCAACTGCTGCTCCTGTTGACCCTATACCAACACACACCCAAGCATCCCAGTCAATTTCTACTTTGACTGCCGAGCCTGCAACACCTGCACCGATATCCCCTCCTCCTGCCTCGCCTCCTCAACCCCCTGACTCCAATGACCATCTTCCTCAACCTCCTGACTCTGTTGACCCGCAACTTCACCCCAAATCATCTGCGACGCGCGCATCGCACACCACTATGACCTACGACGCATATCATCGCTCTATAGGCCATCGCAGTCGCCGCGTTACTCTCCGAATGACGAAGCACGAGAATGTCACACTCACACGCCCACCTCCTCCAATATCATGACAGAGCATTGGATGTTCAACTCTACCATTTTACACCAGGTGCTTTCCAAAGTGACTGCCCAATTCCCTCGCCATGTATCACCCGAAGGCGGCGGCATCGCTCTCGATTGGTCTGACATCGATTTAATCAACGAACTGGCCTATGTCTGCCCCCCTGGTCGATAATCCGTGATATTATTGCCGCTAATACTAAAACAGGCAGTACAATTGTCATTGTCGCTCCGCTACGTCCCGCTGCCCCTTTGTGGCCTGCATTCATGGCCCATCTACAAAGTCAGCCATTCTTAGTCCAGAGTACAGCCACCACTTTTACACGACACGGTACCGAATCTGTAGGAAACCCCTCATGGGTTTTTACGGTAGTCGCTGTTCTCGGCCCTCTTCATTCCCACGTGTCACCAGGTCGCGATTTCACCCTAGCCATTGACTATGCGAAAGCAAACCCGGAATTTGCAAAACACAGTTTACGGACCGGGGGAACGGTTTCACACAGACCTCCAGGGTCCCGTACTCTCCAGTCGCTATGAAAATATCTACATACTCAATATGTTCGACGCAAGTACTAGATACGGACTCCGTAAGGCACTACCACACAAACAGAACATGTTTATCAACATTGATAGATTGATTTCAGATGTTCCTGCCTTTTGGGTCGCGGACACGCTGACTGCTGGCAATGATATGTCTTTCCACAGCCAGGACATGAAGGGCATGCTACTCAAACGACATGTACAACTTCGCCGACCACCACCTTACTCCCTTTCACAAAATGCAAAGGTTGAGCGCCCGCATGATACCCTCAATGGATTGATTCGTCTTCTCCCTATAGACTCCGGTATGCCTCGGCCATATTGGGAAGATTTTGTTGTGGTCTGGCGACATCCGCAACAGAACACTCGGCGAAAACGGCAAACTCCGGACTCCTGCCCAAAAATTCCTTCAGGAAGCCCATCCCAGGGACCCCAAAGCACGTTTTGGCTGTGTTGTCATGTTCAAGCTTCGCGGTAAGACAGCAAAGCTCACCCCTAAGCACGACCCGCAAGTGAGATTCGGGGTCCTACTCGGCCGTAGCGCCAACTCAACACCTTATTGCTATTGAGTCCAAAACTTCGCAATACAGCGGCAAATCGACACACACAAAAATGCCCAATGGTCTCCCGACTGACGCACAGCCAGTCGCTCAGCCACACCCTCCTCCTATAACATTCCATACCACCAAACTGGTTCCTTCCTATCAGCGATCCGGACAACATCGATTCTTACCAGGGCCATATCCCACCGGTGGGCCAGCTCATCCCCGACGTTCGCCAAGATGATCTCCCATCCGAAACACAAGATGCCACACTACCACCCGCGATCTCCCCCCACGCTCCAGTCCCTGTACCGAATGCATCACCAACACAC